CTGTAGAATTCAAGAACTTCTTCCTCGAATTTGAGGCGAATCTCCATTTGAAGAAATTCGGAGAGTTCTTGAGCGCCTATCATCTCCATATAGCTTTGAAAGAATGTCGATGAAGAGCACTTGGCCTCTAACTTCTGGAAATGAACATTTGCTCCGACAACCTTCATTTTCTCAGAAATTTGGGTGAAAATTTGAGAGAGAAAGAGACCTAGGGTTCTTACGAGTTCTTGAGAATTTTTCGCGAAGAAGACGATGAAAAATTTTGAGTGGGCGGTTGAGATCTGAATAGTGGCGATTGGGTTTTAATTTGGGCGACTTTTGCGGCTAGTGGCGATTGGGTTTTTGACTATTCCCAAGGCCACGTGCCTACCCAATATTTTGACAGACGTGGAAAGTAGTCCGCCACGTGTACCGCACTCAGTCTAATTGAATTAGACCAATTTTGTGAAGCAAATCGGAAAACTTGGCTTCACTTAGTGGTTTTGTGAAGATATCCGCCAGTTGTTCTTCAGTTGAGATATACTCAATTTTGATATCTTTCTTTTCCACATGATCTCTGATGAAGTGATGTTTGACATCAATGTGCTTAGTGCGAGAATGATGCACTGGGTTTTGAGAGATGGCTATAGCACTTTGATTGTCACAAAAGATTGTCACTTCCTTTGTCTTGACTCCATAGTCCAGTAGTTGTTGCTTTAGCCACAAAATTTGAGCACAACAACTACTAGCTGCAATGTACTCTGCTTCTGCTGTTGATGTAGAAATGGAGTTTTGTTTCTTACTGAACCAAGAAACAAGATTTCCACCAATGAATTGACAAGTACCAGATGTACTTTTCCGGTCAACTTTGCATCCGGCTAAGTCAGAATCTGAGTATCCCACTAACTCAAATGAATTGCTTTTAGCATACCACAAACCCATGTTCTAAGTTCCTTTGAGGTATCTAAGAATTCTCTTACCTGCTATCAAATGACTTTCCTTTGGCTTTGACTGGAATCTGGCACAAACACCTGCTGCATATGAGATATCCGGATGGCTTGCAGTAAGGTAAAGTAGAGATCCGACAATTCCTCTATAGAGAGTTTGATCTACATCCTTTCCATCTACATCCATGTCAAGCTTGGTGGATGTGCTCATGGGGACAGAAACGGATGACTTCTGATCAACTTTGAACTTCTTGATAAGATCCCTTGTATACTTCGCTTGGTTGATGAGAGTTCCTTCGCTTCTCTGTTTGATTTGAAGGCCAAGGAAGTAGTTGAGTTCTCCCATCATGCTCATCTCAAATTTTCCTTGCATGAGGGTTGAGAACTTAGTGCATAGATCTTTCTTAGTTGAGCCAAATATGATGTCGTCCACATAGATTTGGACCAATAAGAGATCTTCACCATCTTGTAGTTTGAACAATGTCTTGTCAATGACTCCTTTGGTAAATCCATTGTCTATAAGAAATTGAGACAATGTATCATACCAAGCTCTTGGTGCTTGTTTGAGTCCATACAGCGCCTTTTTGAGTCTATACACCTGA